ATAATGCAGAGGCAGTTATAGCATCACTCACATCTTCCTTAAGTTCGAAGTATTTCTTAAATCTTTCTTTTATCGCGTCAGTCAAAGAGGAAACTATTTGGCAAAAATATACGAGTCTTTCAGCTTTTATTAAATTATTGTACTTTGTAAAAATAGTTGCGAGTGTCGGCAAAAGGTAACCATATACCATTTTTTTATCGCCTTGCAAAAAATCAACTGCATCAGCTAAAGGCTTTAATACCTCCATATACTCATCTAAGTAATCGAATTCATTTTCGTAAAACTTATTTATTTGGAATGACTTCGGCATGTATGATATCGAAAGCAAAGCAACAGCAATTCGGAAAAAAGCAAATGCTTTGGCTGTCGTTTTGCTGTAAAATTTCGAAAGCAACCAGACAGTTAAAAAACAATTTGTGAAAGCACAACGACAGCGCAGCGGCAGCCAAGCAACAGCAATTCGACTATCACATGGCCGTGATACATATCATTAAATCGTTAATAGTACCCTTTAGATATGAGTCGGGGACTAATTGATCTCCATTAGTACCCGTATGAGACTATTTGCGACTAATTAATGCCAAAATGTGCCCGATTGAGAGTAATCTCGGAATACTCTCTTTAGAGCTTAGTCGCACAATTTCTTGCAGGGTGTGTACACACCTTGCACATGCACTATACACATACATACACAAGACCATTGTCATCTTATGTTCAAAGCTAAAACTTTTTCTTATCGGTGATTAAAATTATAGAAACCGAACCATACGAGACCTCCTCTTTACTCAGAAAGGACTGGACGAATTTGCATGGAATTTAGCACACTTGAAATATTTTTTAGGATTTTCAATAGCGTTGACACTTGTTTAAACAGTTAAATTAAATTTGAACGCCATATGTGTTCACTAGTTACTAATTTTAGATACTATTATAAACAATTTGAATATTGATGAAGTAATTTGCCATTATATTCATACCTTCTGGATAATTTCAAAATATTGTCCAAACAACTCTTCCTGTGCATATACATCTTTTGTCGTACTCCCGTTATTGGAAGAGGTAGTTTGTGCAAGCTCTTGAGTGGACGCCTCGGAGTTATCCTGCACTGATTCCTCTACAATTACTTCCTCCCAAGTTGTGGTTTGGGAAGCTGATA